AATTGATCAGACCCCAAATTTGTCAACTTTTTTGCTTTGAGTGATAGCACCCTTTAATCTTGGCAAACAGACCAGATTCCGAGCTATTTTTCTAGCTCGAGCACGATATTGCTCGGGGGGACAGTTTTTCTTTCTTCTCGAAAGAGTACGGCGTAGTGACATCTTCGCATCCTCCGGGTCAAGCCGTTTCATCAATGCTCTTTCTTGTGAAGGTACAGAGAATAGCCTAATCCAGTGATGGTTTTACATGAGTAAGTTCATGAGTTTCATGAATATATAGTAAGTACGTTGAAAGATCAAGCCTGTTACATGAGTTAGCTCCTGTTTTCCAATATTGTGAACTTTAAAAAGGAATTGCAATATTAAAAAAATGGATGAAGCATACTGTTGTTTAATAAACATCGGAAAAGCTAATTTGAGCTTACATGGGCTTTGTTACGACTGAAAAGGGCGGACATAGCCGAGGACTCTCACGGTAACTTCGCAAGGGCGCCGTAATATCGAAGTTGTTGGTGTCATGCTTCTATCTCGAGTACTTTGACTTCTTCTTCTAATACTCTTTCAGGTCATTATGGTTGGAACAGGAGGCGTTGGAAAATCAGCTTTGACACTTCAGTTCATGTATGATGAGGTAATTTATTTGAGTGTTATTTCTCGAGCCATTGCGAACATATGGTCATCTTCTTTTTTGAACTGTCGCAATTCAACAGCAATAGTTTTTTTTTAGTTCGTTGAAGAGTATGAACCAACCAAAGCAGATTCGTATCGTAAGAAAGTGGTATTGGACGGAGAAGAATGTTCAATTGATATACTTGATACAGCTGGTCAGGAAGACTACTCTGCCATCAGGTATCACTTAAACATTTCCCATACTAAAAATTTAACAAATCTGTGCATCTTATTTCTGTTTCAATGGATATTCAGCCATGGCACTACTTGTTCAAAAGCTGTGTCAATTAATGCATTTTTCCACGTTCGAAACACTAAGCGAAAATGCAAATATTTTGGTTTCCTGCAATATTTGTTCTGATATCCATGAAAACTCTCACGCGTCTGGGAATAAGATAGATAATACTTCGTGAAAACTGTGCAATGTCAAATTTTTTTATTGCACACAATCAAGCTTTTTGCATATCCTTGCAAGAAGGTGGGCTTTATCCTTGAATGCCTTGGTGAGGAAGTCTTGTAAGCGTCGGTGGCTTGAACAAATAATAATAATACCTCTAATTGTGCCATGTTTCTTTGAAAGTTACACTTTGAGCTACTGACAATGAGTCTTTTAGCGCTTAAAAGTAACAACATATGGGTGATGCTTCTCTTTGGACTTATACCTTTCAAAAACCTGCTGCGCGAAAGTATCATGAAACCGAATCGGGTCTTTATTTGTCTTGGGTTCTTAAGCACGTAGAATGGATAAGCGAATACTGAATAAACAAACAATAGTGGTGAGAGAACGTCACGCAATTTAAAAACTTAGCGGAGGCAATCACTCGTCTTGATTAGGCCATGTGACAGTTTAACCCTCCTTGTATGTCCCGAGTAAGTGATGAGATGAGTGAGAGTAATTAATTAATGTCCTTAATTAAATTAAATAATTATGTCCTATTCCATCCTTTTGCTATTTGCCCATTCTAATTACGAGGTAATGTGCGCTTTCTTATTGGGTTACTCTCGTCATTAGTTCGTCCATTATCCGCTCATTCGTTATAATCGATGCAACATGTCCACCAAAAAAGAAGAATAAAACTAAATAGGTCTCATTTATCATAGTTTTCGGTAAGTTTAGTGAGTTTTCCTTAAGGGAGGCATTCCAATCCCCACATGTCAAGGGGGTAAACATTTTGCCAGGACTGCGTAAGTGTTTAGGTATCTTGTTCGAGTTGGCAGTATTTCGTGTTAAATTCAGTACTATTCGACGCTCAAAAGTCTATACCGTTAAAGCCTTCTTTGTCAAATCAAATGTATGGCGAGCGCCGCAAGCACCCTTTTCAATTGCAGTGCATTTTTGGAGCAACGCTGACTTCAATTGCGCAGTTTTGTCCAGTGAAAAGCAGTCAACCATTAAGGATTCAGCCCTATCGAACGTTCGAGACAAGTGTGCGTTTGCACAACTTTTGTTTGTGCATTCTGGAAACCATTGCCGAGCGAGGTGTATGGTTCGTTAACTTTAAATGATATCACGAGTGGGACCAGAGATTATCACCTTTTGAAGGCCCTTGTAACGCAGCTTTGTCAATCCTTATAGAACTGATGTACCCGCCGTGCAACCATCTTGGAAGGCGGATGTGATGTAAGTAAAACCTTCCAAATTCCACGAGTGATGCGTCTGAGGCGTTACGTGATGCAGATGCATGTTAGCGTGCGGTGTCTGCGCTGAGAAGAGATGGCGGTGAGAGTGTGGACCGTGCGGTCGTGAGTAGTTGAGGTAATGCAGAGAGTTTTATCAAGGCTACCAGAAGGGTGCCAGTGTTGAGCCTGAGTGCGTGGGGGGTGGTGCTGCTGGCGGCTGTGGAATAGCGAAAAGATTCGGTCGAACTCTAGTCTTTTCATCGGGGGATGTGGCGAAAGAGCGGACCGGAATTTAGCGAGAAATGGCTGCCTGGCTGTCAGGGTTAGGCTGCTGAAGGCGGTCCATATCGGACTGAGAAGGGGGCCAAGCATATCTGTCACATGTTGGGAACCAATTTCGTTTGCATTGCATATACTTCTACACAGCCATACTTGTACCTGTACTGCAACGTTACTACACAACCTCCCCATATATCTCTTTCTTATTGTTAGTGCGAGATGAGACGAAGTTCCAACCCTATCGGTGGGCTAGCTTCACCTCTCCGCTATCAGACGTCCCTCTGTATGCATTGTACTTCCCGTATATTGTTAGTGACAAAGATGGAGGTGATATTGTATAGCATTACGAGCATCGAAAATCCCACGTGGTAGCGGTATATGTGACGTGTGGTGTTGTTTTATTAATTTGCCGCTTTTTGCCACTGCAAGCTCGCAATACAAAAGTTATCATAGGAATGCTGAGTTATAACCTCACGCTATACGTATGAGTGCAGATAAGCTCTGGTAAGTACTCATGGAAAGGCAAAGGGTTGCGATAATGCTGATGTTAATGAAAGCGAAAGATGGGGTAGTTGAAAAAGCAGAGGAATGTGCGTAGACGAATGTTAGCGGTAAGCTCGTTCACTTGTGAAGTCATCGGGCGAAAAGTGCGATGTTACGTTCTCCGGTTTCAGTTCTCCCTTCTCATTCCGTTCGCCAGATGCCACACGTGGCACCTGCTTTCACAGTTTATGGCTGTTTGCTCCTTGCGAGAAGTGCTTCCATAGATGCGTCTGGTGGTGTGATGCGTAGCACAAAGTCCTGACGAGAGGCGAGAGCGTGGCTCCGCCTGGTCTAAAACTAAGGAATCCTTGCGATGACATGTGATTCGATTTTTCGATGCCGTCGCCATGTGTGTCAATAAGTTTGCAATTTCGACATGGTCTCACACAGACAACAGAGTTCAGTTCAATGGCAGGCAATCTCCGAACGCATTGCCGTTTTGCACAATGCTGCACATTTTTTCTGCATTTCTGTAATAACAGACTAGTGTATTAAACTGACCTGAGTTGCTTGATTTGGTCCAAAAATGCTGTTGTAATAGGGATGCTCATAGCGGGTATTGTATGGGGAAGCCGCGAAGTCTGAGAGATTGAAAAAACATTTGAGCTGAAAGCTAGCTAGCCGAAAACAAGACGACATGCATTTCATCACAAATATGTTACTTAACATTAAATTTTTCCTCGGTTAGTACTGCTTCATTTCAGAGACAATTACTACCGAAGCGGAGAAGGTTTCATTTGTGTTTTCTCTATACTCGATATGGATTCGTTCGATGCCACTACAGAGTTCAGGTACGAGGTTTGACTGTATGAAAAAGAAGTTTTCAAAATCACTCGAAAAACTGTTGTTTCCTTTGGTTCAAATAGTATGCAGATCAGAATTGAGTGATTAATACTGGTATACACGTTTCACTCTGACATATCGATGGGACCTTCCCATAGACGAACCCTTGATAGTTATGTCTTTCCCATTACGTTTCTTGGCGACTATTCATTTCGTACCTGCTACATGAGGACGTGTTTTTTTTTCAGTAGGTTACGTCAACAATGAGAAGGGTGGAGTAGGAGCAGGAATGGGAGAATGTTTGACTTTCTTTAGGCATCACTGGTAACAAATGCTTTCAAATAAGTTGATTTCCCATTACAGCGCGAGCACGTTGTGCTTCTTTGCTTGAGAGTTTACCAAAGAGGTGCGGATTTTCAAGCATGGGCCACTTACCAATTTTTCTCATACAGTTTATTGGGTGAATAAGAGTAGTGTGCATAAATAGCGCATAGGCGCAGAATGTGATTTGTTTGGCGCAATATCCCCATCGACACAATAAGAGTGTTGGTCGTAGGGCACCTGTGCGCCGCAACAGGTGCTCTACGACCAACACTCTTATTGTGTCGTATATGCTGACAATTTGGTCAAGCCGTAATGGATGGTGAATATAACTACCATCTACTTCGGAAAACGAGAAGAGCGTAGTGCACACCACACACACAAGTTACGACGGCCAAAAGAAAAGTAAAAGCCACTTTTTCTTGGCCGTCGTCACTTGTGGTGTGTGGTCTGCACTCGACGCTCTTCTCGTTTTCCGAAATAGAGGGTAGTAAGGAGTAGGGACGAGAATGTGCTACATGTGTGATGTACTAGGATGTTGTTGCACTGTCGACGTTGTGGAAGGATTAGGATATCAGGTGATGTTGCTTCTTTCCCCGTCCATTTCCATGCCAGTTATATGGAGGATCAGAGAAGACAGTGCCAGTGCAGCACAAGGGGAGCGTTGTAAGCCTTGTGTTGCGGCGAGCATTCGAATTGCTAAGCCTCTGTCTGCGCTTGCGCTGCTACAGTCTGTAAAATCCAATTTTGGCCTAGATTCAGAATTTGAAGCGGCTCAGTACCGCAAGCCTCTTCCTAGATTGTCCTTGAAAAGCCTTTTATTATTACCACGCATACCACTACTGATTGTTTGTTTGTTGCATCGTCGAAATCAATCTCATACTTTGGAGTTAAACTTTCTTGGCTTTTAGAGAGCAAATTCTTCGTGTGAAGAACTCAGACAATTCAATTCCCATCGTTCTCGTCGG